GGACCCTGAGGGTTGGTGGCCACCAGCAGGGCAGGCTCAGGACCCTGAGGGTCGATGTCCTGCAGGAGGGTCCCAGCTGGGGTCGTTCTGCAGCCTTGGAGCCCCGGGACAGGAGCTGCAGCTGCAGGCACAGGTCGGGCTCCTTTGGCTGCTGCATTTTCTGGCTGGCTCAGAGCAAACCCTGCTCAGATCTGGTGAAGGCACAGCCCGGGGGGATGCAGGGGAGCCCCTGCGTGGTGCTTCCACAGGACTTTGGCTACTTTTGAGGCTGTTTTTAAAGCTGAACCTCATTTCCCAGACTTCTTTCAGCTCCTTTCACATTTTTCAGCTATTCTAACTCCAGCCTTGCCCTGTTAGGTGCAATCCCACCCCGGAGCGAGGGGCACAGACAGCATCCCGCACCTGGAGGATTTATGGCACGGGGGGGACCAAAAAAAAAAAAAAAATAAAAGCCCATCCTGGGTGGGGAAGGTGCTGGTGGTGGCTTTGGCTGAGCTGGGAGGTGTTTGGGGTTGCTGGGTTGGGATTGTTGTGTTCCGAGCTCGCATCCTGCCTGCGCTGCGGGGAACGGTCACGTGCGCTCGGGGCCTTTGTCCTGCGCCTCGCTGCTTTTTTTAAAATTTATTTTTAGGTGCTCTCCGGCTTCCTCTTCCTCCTGCGCCGCGCTGCACTCCCTCTTTCTAACTCCCTCTTCTAGGATTGCTTTTTTTGAGCAGTCAGTTCCTCCTTAAAGCCATTTTTGCAGGCCTTTGTCTGCGCTTGGGAGCCAGCCCAGTTTAGCATTAGCAGCTGCTGGCTCCTCTGGGTTAGCAAGAACAAATAAAAGTTTGCACTGAATGAATCATTTGAGCCTTATCTGTCCTTCCCAGCCCGGGACAGCTGTGCAACTTCTGCTGCAGTGCCTGCAGGGCACTTGGATGGCCTGAATGGGTTTGTGCTGCTCATCCTGGATTGTCTCAGGGATTCCTGGCCGTGTCTCCGAGCTCTGTCCCACGTTGGCTTAGGAAGCTCTGGGATGGTTCCCTCGCCATAAAAACCCGTGGATGCTTTGGGTGAAAATGCAGAAGTGTCGTGGTGGGATCCTGGTTGTGGTGGGATCCTGGTTGTGGTGGGATCCTGGTTGTGGTGGGATCCTGGTTGTGGTGGGATCCTGGTTGTGGTGGGATCCTCGTGGTTGTGGGATCCTCGTGGTTGTGGGATCCTCATCCTGGTGGGGTCCTGGTTTTGATGGGATCCTCATTGTGGTGGGATCCACATTGTGGTGACATCCTCATCATCCTCATCATGGTGGGATGCTGGTAGTGGTGGGATCTTCATGGTGATGGGATCCTCATCCTGGTGGGATCCACATTGTAGGAGGATCCTCACTGTGGTGGGATCCTGCTCGTGGTGGGATCTTCATGGTGATGGGATCCTGGTCATGGTGATGGGATCCTCATCCTGGTGGGATCCTGGTCATGGTGGGATCCACATTGTGGTGGGATCCTGCTCGTGGTGGGATCCTCATCCTGGTGGGATCCTGCTCGTGGTGGGATCCTCATCCTGGTGGGATCCACATTGTAGTGAGATCCTCATCGTGGTTGGATCCTCACTGTGGTGAGATCCTCGTGGTGATGGGATCCAGGTCATGGTGGGATCTTCATTGCAGTGAGACCCTCATGGTGGTGGGATCCTGGTCATGGTGGGATCTCATGGTGGATGAGCTTTGAAGGCAGACAGGGTGTGTGGGGATGAGCTCCTGCCATCCCGTGGGGCAGCGTGGCACTCAGGAGCTGTGGTGTGGCTTTGCTGGGATAAGAGGCAGGAGTTGCAGAGAAGAGGCCAGAGTTGGTTCAAGAACAAACGTGGGGGGAGGGAGGGGACAGCAGATAAAGCCTTGGGAAGTTTGGGTCCCACACAAAGGTGAGGAGTTGACCAGAGCTTGTGCTGGATCCTGGGCATGGAGGGTTCCTGAGGGATATCCTGGGGCCTGGATCCATCCCCCCTTCCCCTTCTGGATCCATCCCCCCCTTCCCCTTCTGGATCCATCCCCCCTTCCCCTTCTGGATCCATCCCCCCTTCCCCTTCTGGGTCCATCCCCCCTTCCCCTTCTGGATCCATCCCCCCTTCCCCTTCTGGATC